TAAGTTCAACCACGCTCCATAGACTCCCGTTGACCTTAAAATGAGAGAATGACGAAGGGCTGCCTGGTCCAAAGTTTGATGAGACCTCGGGATTCCTGAGCCCATGGACAAGGACACAGCCACAGAAGGCTAGAGCTGAGAGTGAAGCATCCAGCTGATGAGAAGTAACAGGAGATGCAGAAGAATGCCCAAACTTGCAGATAGTACCCATTTGACCTAGCTTAAATGGCTTGATAATCAGAATTCAACTAGACAAAGATAAAAAAAAAAAAAACTTTTTTTGATAAAGGAAACAAGTATAAATTGCTACAATTTTATGAACTTGGCCTACATTTATGGATGTAGTAGCTCAGAATACCAACGGAGAGGGAAGCAATCTTCACACCAAGAATCAATTCTATCCCCTCTGTATACAGGGTAGATAGGGACAGGCAACTTAGGCACTGGCTATCTAAAACGAGGGGGTGATAAAGGCACGAAGTGACTGGCGTACAAGGTTTCACGAGGAAGTTTAGTTTAAGAGTGTGCAGGGGAAGGTAGAGTCCCTACTGAATAGTTTTCATCTTGTCTAGATGGGTCTAGTGAAAAGAGATGGGGATAGGATTCTTATGATTCAATAGTGAGTAATTGTTATCATGACAAATTACAACTGTCACAACTGTAAAGATAAAAATTATGTAACAAAAATGGGAGTGTAGTTAATCTTACAGTACAGAAACAAAGGACCCTAGGACCATCAAGAGAAGAGAGCACAAGCAGAATGTGGAACCCTATTCAGATAAGCAGAGACACCAGAGATGGAAACAGAGATGAGGACATGGAGAGAAGGAGCAGCTGAAGACTCTGGACTCATGAAGAAAGGAGGGACTGGGTGCTGGTGGCCAGGAGGCAGGCTTTCAGAATGTGCCCTTTGGTTGTTATTATGTATTCCTGAGTGTTTCTATGTTGTTGTTGTTGTTAAGTGCCTTCGAGTCGGAGCCGACCCATAGCGACCCTGTACAGGGTTTCCGAGGGTGTAAATCTTTACGGGAGTAGAAAGCCTCATCTTTCTCCCGCGGAGCGGCTGGTAGTTTCGAACCACTGACCTTAAGGTTCGCAGCCCGATTCGTAACCACTACGCTACCATACCCCCCAAAAAAAACAAAAAACACAGGAAATGGAAGCAAATACTGTTGAATGATGATACACGTTTCATTACAATGAAACGATGGTGTAAAGCCGATGTTCTCCATGTGAACTATCATTCAGTTCACAATAAAAACTTACCAAAAAAAAAAAAAATTCCTTATTTTCACAAAGGTGGCCGCAATAGCTAGGGGTGGGTGCAAGGACAGAGATATGGAGTGTGGCAGTACACTATTTCAAGTCAGGAACTACATGTAAAATGTCAGTTGTTGTTAAATGCTGTCAAGTCAGTTCCAACTCATAGCGACCCTATGTAGAGTTTCGGAGGAGTGAGCCTGAAACGCCGACCTTGCAGATCAAACTGACTTTGCAGTCCAGTGCATTAACTCACAGTGTCATACCAGGACTCCTTAGTCCCCTGGAAAAGATCCCAAGCAAAATCCTCAACAATCACTGTTAGCTTCCAATACAGGATGATGTTCTAAAAACCAACGTTCAAATGAGAAAGGGACACTTTTCACTATCCTTCTGAGACATGGGTAAGGAGAGTGGAAAGACAAACACCATCCCAGGAAAGGTTGCTTGGCTCACCCGCCCCTATGCCAATCCAGTAGAGTGAAGCAGCAGCACTTATCCCAGACTAAGCAGCCTGCCCAGGAAGAGCTAGGGTTTCTGTCTCCGTGTGTGTATACGTGTGTTCCTATACCGAGCCACCAATTTTTGTATTTGTATCAAGTTTAGTTTACCTGGTGATTCCCTAAAACTCCTACAGTGAAGCCTGCTAGCTGATACATCATACACCTAAATCACAGCGTTTGTTAAATCACTTCTTTCTATCAGGGGTAACCCACAGAACACATCTAGAACATTGTCTTTCACACTGAAATTCGATTACATAATCGGACTCTTGTAGAAAACTAGTCATTCTTAAGATGACAACCAAGATAACCACCAAAATTATCCTAGAAAAAGAGACATGAAATTCTGATTAGCATTATTAAAAGAACTGCTGAAGATATGGTGAACATAAAATAAAAGGTTGCTATTCAAAAATAGCAATCAATAAAAAATGAAGTTTATAAAATTCAACATATTGCTAAAAGTTTAATAAACATTTTCTTTAAATGCCCATGAAGCTACAATGACAAAAAAATAAATCACTAACAAGGTCAGAAAACAAAGAAAATGTCTGAAAATTTAGAACACAAGGATGAGAACAAAATGAAAACATGAGAGAAAAATTAAGTGATCTCCCCATGGGATACACAAAAAGACCCACTGGGATTTAGGAAGAAAGAACTGAAGCTTCTAGATACAGACTTTGTATCTCATTCTTCAAGATCATGTCAGGGTAGATTTGCAATGTAAATATTTTATTAGTACAGAGGTACATGTATACAATTTAAAAGTAAGTAAATGTGAATATACCTATAGGGGGAATGCATATCTTTTATAAACAAGTGAAGAGTATAGATCACACTGTGGAAATCACACTGAAAAAAACAATCTGATAGAAACAATATTCACCTGATGGGTACCAGACAGAAAAAAAACAAGAATATTTAAAGAAAGAAAAAGAAGAAATGGGGGAATTTTCCCCAGAACTAAAGAAGGATAGGACTCTTTCTAATGGGAAGGTCCATAAAGTGCCAAGTCAGATGAGTGGTGGGAAAAAAAGACTAACCCATGCACAAAGAGTTGAAAATATGAAGATTAAAGATAAACCCAAAAGATTTTTTAAATTATCATGAATTAAAGAAACCTGTAAACACAAAAGCCAGATTTGGCATGACAGTTACCATAGGCAACAATGGGTGCAAGAAGAAAACACAGTAACACTTTCTCAGCTCTGAAGGAGAAGGATTTTGAATACTGATTTCTAAATTCTGTCAAGATGATCAAAAGTGACATAAAACAGGTATTTAATGTTTTCAGAATCATCTACTCTCTCTCTCATAATTTATAAACTGTCTCCCAAATCAGTTCTCCCAATAGTAGTTCCTTTTGTAACACTACTGTTCAAATATTTATTTTACCATTGAGTGTTGGTCTTCTGATTGTCCATGAGTATGTGTTTATATATAGATGTCAAAAATGCTCATGTTCTCATGTGTTAAAGGATAAGAATTTAAGTATATTCCTTTACAGCAAGAAGAGGAACAACAGCAAAAGAGATTCCAGAATCTGTGGCTCTGGACCTCTCACGTCACTGTTTCTACAGGTAACTAAACCCTGCAGATCACCACGAGACACTTTTAAGTCAAGACCTGTATTCAGAGTACATGTTGTTACTGTAGTCAGGTGTCATTGAGTTGGTTTCTGACCCACAATGACCCTGAATAGTGTTTCTGAGGCTATAAATCTTTTGTGGGAGCAGAAAGCCTCATCTTTCTCCCTCAGAGCGATTGGTGGGCTAAAACTGCCAACCTTATGGTTTGCAGTCCAGTGCTTATCCCACAGAACCACTATGTTCCCTTCAGAGTGCATGCTGTTTTGTTCAGTACCGCTGAGTTGATTTAGACTCAGCGGCTCTGTATAGGTTGAGCGCCACTGGTGGGTTTCAGCTACCCCTTTTGCAGTCAGCAGTCAGTCCAGTGCTGAAGTATCAAAATAACATAGTTTTATCACATCCACTTGTATAAACAAATAATATTATAAATAAGTTTGTCTTTTCACTCATTTCTTAGTCTGTCCTATACATTTTAATTACTTCAAAAGAGCATGCAATTCTCTGCAAAGTCTTTCCCTTTCCCTTCTTAATGTTTAGAAAACATTAAGAAGTTTAGTCAGTAAATATTGAGTAGAAAAATTTTTTTAAATGATGTACACAACTTACTTTAGTACCAAGGGCTCTGGATTTACTCAAATTAAGATATAATGAAATTAAAATAACTATGCAATTATTTAATTGATTAACATTGTAAGTATGGCATGCCATCAATCTTGAATAAATTATGCCTTTAAAAAATTCTTAAAAAAAAAACAAAAAACAGGTGTTTGTAGAGCAACTCGAGAAAACTTCCCCCTCCCCCCCTACTTTTCTTGATTCATATTGGTGTTACTTTAAAGTGCCATGGAATCGGCTCTGACTCATACCAACCCTGTACAGGTTTCCAGGAGTGGCTGCTGAATTTGAACCATCAAATGCCTCAAACAATGAATTAAACCAGACGCTTTCTGAGGACACTGGAACACAATTAGGTGTAAAGGTAAAGGCAAACTAAATCTCATTAAAATACATATAGCAAACCATAGATTTTTGTTTGTTTGTTTGTTTAAAGGGTGGCGTCACAGCACTTTGCAACCCAAACCAAGTCTCCCTAAAAGCTGTAATAAAGATCTCTCTAATCATCACCTATGACCTCTTGTGCGTCACAGCTTCAGATCTGACTCCAGGTCACCGTCACTCAAGAGGATTAACAAAGAAAACGAGCCAAATTACCTGTAGAAGTATGCACGGGAGGGGAGGTAGAAGAAAAAAGCAACAACAACACAAAGGGAGAGTGAAGTGAGGATGACACACATGGATAGAACCAGAGACCACAGAGTGAGAGAGCACAAGCAAGAAGTAAGCAGACAGAGATAACAGCGATGGCAGAACGATGAAAGGGCAGGGGCAAAAGGACAATTAGGGGAGGGCCAACACTAAGAGGTGCCCAGAATCCTCGAGTGTGACAGGGACAGGGAAAAGGACGGTACTGGAGCTGGTACCGAAGGTAAGCTAAGTCAGGGCTTGTTACTCAAAAATACCCTGAACTACTCGGACTGCCCTCCCCCAGCTTAAGAATCAGCTGCACATTCTAGAAATACTGATGAGCAACTCCGCTTTTCGGTGTCCCCAGAAGTAACGGGGCCAGGTCGGGGCCCACACTCACCAGGCCACTGCGGTCCGGCGTAGTCGCCACATCCCAGTAGTGGGAAGGTCGCACAGGCGCCGGGGCGGCCACGCGGGAGCCCTGTTCTCAGCCCCAGTCCCGCTCCTGCTCCAGGAATGACCCAGAGAGAGGTGCTCCGAAACAAGGGCACAGAGCTGCGGCCGCGGTCCTCCCAATGGCGCATGGACTTCCGCAAAAGCCCATCCGGCACCCGTACACAGTCCGTCAGAAAACATCCACCCCACCTTTCCTAAGAAGGCAGCACAAACGGTCCGTAGAGGATTTGCGCATGCGTCCACAGCCTCTCGCGGGATTAAATGTGCCTTCCTTCCTCTTTTGCTCAACTTCTCCTAGTTTCGCTTGGAATTCTGAATTCCTGCTTCCCAGGTTAAAGACTTGAAAGAGGCGCCGAAATTGGACGGGTGAAATAAGGGGCATTGATACCCTGTTTGGAGTCCTCGTGTGGCGCTGTGAGTTAATGCGCTGGACTGCAAAATCGGCTTCGCAAGGTCCGCTATTCAAGCTCACCAGTCACTCCTCTGAAACAGGATCGCTATGGGTCGGAACCGACTCGAAAGCACTTAACAACAACAATAATAATAATATCCGTTTGGTATGTTATTACGTTTCGGCAACAACTTTAATAAAATTTCGTTACTGAGAAAACTAAATTCACTGTCATCCAGGGGATTCTGACTCAGATAGGGATCAGGTCATAACAAGAAGACAAAGTAGAACTTTTTCCATGGGGTCCCCGAGGCTGTAAATCTTTAGGAAGCATAAACCCTCATCTTTCTCCCTCCAAGCCTCCAAGTCCAGTGCTTATCCTTCAGGGCCTGCCTCCAGGACTCTTTGGGAGGATCCTTGTTAGTGCAGTCAAATCGCTTTCACTTACAGTGACCATGTATAGGGTTTCCAAGGATCAGCTGGTGAGCTTGAACCAGCGACCTTGTAGTTTAACCCAACTTTGCAGTCCAGCGCATTAGCCCACAGGACTACTGCAGAGTAATAGAATAATGAAATAAATGTAAAACTAACAATTGCCCCGTGTTGTGGTTAATAGCCATCGAGTTGTTTCTGACTCACGGCAACCTGTGTAGCGTTTCCAAGGAGTGGCTGATGGATTTGGATGGTCAAACTTGCAGTTAGTATCTAAAGCTTATCTTATAGTGCCATACCAGGACCCTAATTGCCCCTTATTATTAAGTGCTGTCAACTTGGTTCCGACCCGTAGCTAACCTGTATAGGGTTTTCGAAGAGTGGCTGATGGGTTTGAACCGCTGACCTTGAGTTCAAACACACTTGCGATCCAGCACATTATCCTGCAGCACCATATCAGTACTCCCAAATTTCTCCTTAATCCTACATTTTTGTTCAGTGTCTTTGTTTATCAATCACGTTAATACCTCTAAGGAGGCCATGGTGACACTGTAGGATAAGCAATGGACTGCGAACATCTAAGTCAGCAGTTCAAACCCACCAGCCACTCTGCAAGAGAAATATGAGGCTTTCTACACTGCTAAAGATTTACAGCCTCGGAAACCCGATACAGGGTAACTCTGGGAGTGGAATACTGAATGCAATTTATAAAGGTATCAGAAGTAATTTTGATTATTCAGCGTTCATCTGGCTCTCATCTGTTTTTAACTCCCAATTGATTGAAATGTCCCTTGTTGCCATTAAATTGAAATTTAATATAAACATATGCATTTAATGTTGCCTAGGGCCAACTACTGAACCTCTCAGTGGCATTCTGCTCATATGGTCACTCCTTCTGAATGGGCTTCCCTCTCTAGGCATTTAGGATAGCACATTCTCCTGCGTTCTTCATTCAGAAGCTGCTTCTATCAACCAGAATTCTGGATATTGAAGTGTCCCAGATCTTTAGTACTGTGACCCTTCCATTCTTCATTCTCACCTTGAGTAGTCTCAGTCAGTTTCCTGACTTTCAATATCCTTTCTCCCCATCTTTCCAATTCAAATGTAAGAGGAAACTGAGACCCATAAAAGGCATGTGGCCAGTGAAAGGACGAGATGTCAAATAATGGGGACCAAAATCAAAAGCTCCTTTGCCATTTCTTCATTTCAAAGGTGCTAACACACTCACTAGGAGCTCTGGTAGCGTAGTGGTTATGAATCAGGCTGTGAACTGCAAGGTTAGCAGTTCGAAACTACCAGCTGTTCCTCGGGAGAAAGAGATGAGGCTTTCTGCTCCCGTAAAGATTTACAGCCTCGGAAACCCTGTACAGGGTCGCTATGAGTTGGAACCGACTCCATGGCACATTAACAACAACAACACACTAAACATGAAGTCAGAATCAGAAGTCTATCCATTCACTCACAACTCCAAGTACAGGCCCAACCACTGATCAAAAGCTCCCCAAGACACAGGGCTCTCAGAATTTTATTTATCATGTTTAAGGAACTCTGGTAGCGTAGTGGTTACAAATCGGGCTTCGGACCATAAGGCCAGCGGTTCGAAACTACCAGCCGCTCTGCGGGAGAAAGATGAGGCTTTCTACTCCCGTAAAGATTTACACCCTCGGAAACCCTGTACAGGGTCACTATGGGTCGGAACCGACTCGACGGCACTTAACAACAACAACAATAGCAGATCCAGACAGGAACTTGCTATACACCCTTGGAAACCCTGTACAGGGTCGCTATGGGTCGGAACCGACTTGACGGCACTTAACAACAACAACAACAAATATCTGTCTTGTGCAAACTGTAGACCTTTCCAGGATTATAGTGTTGAGCAAAATTTTCTCTTTTTTCCTATTATTTCCTATTTAAGAAAGCAAAACAAAACAAGAATAACAACTCTTTTCATGTATGAGTTATCTTTGCATTTTACTTAATATGCTCTGATGCTTATCGAACGGTTGGAGGGGTAAATCTACTCAGAAGTGCCTTGGATGAAACACCCAACAATCGACTTCTGAATATCATTGAAAAATATGGATGGAGCACAGTTCTACTCTGACACACGGGTTGCCATGAGTCACTTGCAGCTGATTACATTTTACAAAGTCCTTATTTTGTAATTCCATTCCTAGGTATATAAGGAATGTGAGCAAAGATGTATATATAAGATTTTTTTTCCCTGAATTTTATGAAATGGAAAAAAACCATGACCAACTTAATGTCCATGGAGAGGCGCTGGTTAGATAATTACATTTATATCATGGAGCACCATGAACACGTATGAGTTCATTCTCTATGTGATAATAAGGAAGAACAATATCTAATACATAGTACCGCATGTTTGGGAAAAGGACCAAACACTGTATAATCAAACTGCCATCATCGGTTCAAATTTAGCCCACTGTCCTGTTTTCTTTGCCTTGTGCTAGGTTGGCTTATCCAGTGTTTAAAAATAATGTTGGATTTGTTAAACCAGGAAAATTTAAAAACCAGGAAATTTTACAACAAAAGAAAATGATTTCTGATTTTCTTCAAATATTGGAAAATCTGAGAAGCCTGCATTCTTACTTGTCAAAAATCAGTTGGAACTTGGAACCAAGTAGTGCTTCTATCCTTCAGACAAGCATTCCCAGGCTAGCAGTTTACCTCTTTCTAAAATTCTTTCTGAAATGGAAGGCTCTTTCAATTGCTATTTGTCATGAAAACTGACAGTTAAAGGGGCCACTAGTTACCTTCAAAAAGAGAAAATGAAAGCCTGAGAGGCTCTGGTGTTTTACGAATAATGAGAAAGGTTGAATTATGTCCCTCAAAACTATGTGTTAAAATTCTACCCCCTGTGCCTATAAATATGACCCTTCTAGGAAGTAGGGGTTTCCATATGCTGTTAATGAGATCAAGAAACCCTATTAGTGCAGTGAGTTAAATACAAGGATGCTAACTGAAGGTTGGTGGTTCAAACCTATCAGTTGCTCTGCAGGAGAAAGATGAGGCAGTCTACTTCTGTAAAGATGTACAGCTTCAGAAACCCTAGGAACCAGTTCTAGTCTGTACTGCAGGGTCTCTATGGCCCTGTAGGAAAAAACATGACAGCAGTAGATTTGTTGTTCTTTTGTTTAGAGGATCCTAAACCTAATTAATCACCCCTGAGTTTTAAAAAGAGAAGATAGATAGTGATACAGGAGGGATATATATAAAATCCAGGAAGGAAAAGGATTGCTAGCAGATGCTAGAAGTTAAAACAGATGAGGAAGAGCTTCCCCATAGAGCCATTCCCTGAATTTAGACTTCTAGCCTCTAGAATTGTGAGGAAGTACATTTCTGTTTATTAAAGCCACCCACTTACTGTGGTTCTGTTATGGCAGCACTAGGTAACAACAAGAGATCATCTCCCCGCCCCTTACCCCAGAACTATGCAAATGAACTATGTGATGCTGAAAGAAACAATCTAAGACAAAATTACGTAAGTATACCTCTTTAATAAGGAGCTCAGGTAATGTAGTGGTTACGAATCAGGCTGCGAACCTTAAGGTTCAAAACTACCAGCTGTTCCTTGGGAGAAAGATGAGGCTTTCTGCTCCCATAAAGATTTACAGCCTCGGAAACCCTGTACAGGGTCACTATTAGTCGGAACTGACTCCACGGCATATCACCACCACCACCTCTTTAAATAAGGAGCCCTGGTAGCAAGTTGGGCTGCTAACTGCAAGGCCTGTAGTTAGAATCTACCATTGACTCCATGGGAGAAAGACGAGAATTTCTGCTCCTGTAAAGATTGACAGCAAGGTCACTCTGAGTCAGAACAGACTCCATGGCCCACACCACACACACTCTTTGCTCATTCATATTACTTGCTTAACCTAGGAAAGCATTTGAGTTGATGAGTCCTGGTGAAAGGTAGGTTCAGGGGGAGGGCTTGAGAATGTTAGGCTATGTGTAGGAGGGACACTTACTTTATGGAGAAATAATTTCCTTTATGTGGTCTTTTCCTTAGTCCTTTGGAAAGCCAGCATAAGGGACCTTCCCCCTAAAACCCAAAGTTAACCTTTGTCCAAGTTTTCTACTCCAGATGATGTGCTGCTTTTGTAAACCTTGATTGACATTTCCTAGGAAAGCTATAAATAACTTGTGTTTTGATAATTTTTTCTGGTCCTGGGCTGCAACCTGCTGGAGACATCAAGGAAGGCTCCGTAGTTGGAAAATACGGCCTTGGTGATAGAAACGATGCTGGAGATTGCATGATAGAATTTTTCAAGGCCAATGATTTCTTCATTGCAAATGCCTTTTTTTAAACAACACAAAAGATGACTAAATACTTGGACTTCACTAGATGAA